GGTATAGGTCATCTGCAAATTGTGATAGTTTTACTTGTTCTGTCCCAATTTTGACTCCTTTTATATTCTTCTCTTGCCTAATTGCTCTAGCTAGGACTTCCAATATTATGCTGAATAGTAGTGTGAAAGTAGGCATTCTTTTTATGTACCAGGTCTTAATAGGAAAGCTCTCAGTTTTTCACTGTTGAGAAATGGTGTTAGCCATGGGTTTTGTCATATATGAACATTATTATGTTGAAATATGTTCCATCTATGCCCATATTTTTAAAAATTATAAACAGATATTAAATCTTATCAAATACTTTTTCAGCATCAGATGACTTAAGTTCTAGGCATTAACTGTCAACCAGCTGAAGCTGATACAAGACAGACATGTTTTAAGATAATTTTAGGGCCGCTCTTTCCACCATCTTGGTCGCTGTGGAGGCCTGCTGGGAACAGGACTTCTAAAATACGGCTGGAAGGCTATGGTCCAAGGCCATTTTTGCTGGCTACAAGCGGGGTCTCTGGAACCAGAGGGAGCATACAGCTCTTCTTAAAATTGAAGGTGTTTATGCCCGAGATGAAACAGAATTCTATCTAGGCAAGAGATGTGCTTATGTGTACAAAGCAAAGAACAACACAGTGACTCCTGGTGGCAAACAGAATAAAACTAGAGTAATCTGGGGAAAAGTGACAGGTGCCCATGGAAACAGTGGCATGGTTCGCGCAAAATTCCTAAGCAACCTTCCAGCTAAGGCCATAGGACACAGAATCTGTGTGATGCTGTACCCCTCAAGGATTTAAATATACTGAAAGCCCAATAAAAGTGGATTTGTTCTTGTATTTTGTTAAATGGGTTTAAAACTGTCCTAAATATTGCTGATGTGTGCTTAAAATGGTAGCAGTAATCTGTCATTTTCAGGGTGCATAGATAACAACTGTATATAATGGTGATTACACCAATTTAAACAATAAGGATTTTAATGAGATCAGGATGTCAGTATCTTAAAAAAAGGCCTTACACTGTGGGGGAAGGAAAATAAACTTCTGTTTGGAGACCGAAAAAAAAAGACCGAAAAAAAAAAAAAAGATAATTTTAGGGCCTCCCTGGTGGCTCAAGGAGTTAAGATGCAGCCTATGAAGCTATCCGCAGCCACTGCAGCATGAGTTCGATCCCCAGGCCAGGGAGATACCCACCCACATGGGGCAGCAGACCTCTCCTGACAGGGCATCAGCAGTGTATTTCAGCCGATCTGCCTGTTCTGTTCCCCACTCTGTCTCTGGTGAATCCTCTCACCCCCACACATCTGGCCTGTGCCCCAGTTCTTGTACATACATACATACATACATACATACATACATACATACATACATAAATCTTTTAAATGAATAAATAAATAAAATGTTCTTTTAAAAAGCCATAGAGTAATCTGGTTCTAAAGTTGATGCATATGGCATGATAATATACAATATATAATAGAAAACCCTAAAGACTCCACTAAAAACTAATTGAAACAATAAATCAGCTCAACAAAGTGGCAGATTACAAAATCAACATACAAAAATCAATTGTATTCCAATATATAAATAATGAGCTAAAGATAAAAAAAAATCAAGAAAATAAACCTATTTACAATATCTTCAAAAAAAAAATTCAGCACCAAGGAACAAATTTAACAAGGGAATTGAAAGACTTATACAATAAAACTATAAGACATTGTTTAAAAAAAATAGAAAGCAAAAAGAAATGGTAAGCTCACGGATTGGATGAACTAACGATAAAATGACCATCTTACCCAAAGCAATATACATATTCATTGCGATTCTTATCAAAATTAAATCAGCATTTTTCAAAGAAACAGCCACATGCAAAAAAATGAAACTAGACCTTTACATATCTCCATACGTAAAATTAAATCAAAATAGATTAAAGCCTTGGATATATGATCTGAAATCATAAAATACAAAAAAGAAAACAAGAAACAATTTCCAACAATACAGCTACAAATAGAAAGAAAATTCATCCATTAAATCTGTCGCTGTCAAATTTTGTCATCAACTTATTTATCTTCAAATGTTACTTTTCAATCAAATTATCTGAGTGGAATGCAGTTACACGTATACTAATATTTTCAAAATGCATTAGTAAACCTTTAATTGTTATGAATATGTTAAAATCAGAATTTAAATATTCTATGAAGATTTACAAATCTACTAAATTTACAAATGCAACAAATACATTAAAATTATCAGTGTACTAAAACATACTGATGTTCCATTGTAGCTACAGCTAAGATTGAGTCTTGTTTTTTAATTACCTAAATTCTCATACATTTTAAAGTTTAAAATAAAAATGTCCACATTGTAGCTGGAATGGTAACTACAAATTAGTCTACCTGAAAAATTCACTGCAATGTAAAACTTGGCCCTCAGTTTTTGTTATAAACTGACATTTATGTCTCCATTTCATATGTTGAAATTGTATCCATCAGTGTGGTGGTTCCTATTAAGAGAGTGGGCCTTTGATAAGTGATTGGTCAAGAGGAATTAGTGTCTTTATAAAAGATATACCTAAAAGCCCCCTCCACTCTCCCATAATGTGAGAACCCAGTAGAAGAACCAGAAGCAGGTACTCACCAGACACCAAATTTGCTATGCCTTGAGGGTGGACTTCCCAGACACCTGCACTGTGAGAGAGAAAAAAATATGATATTTACACATTACACTGTCTAAACAGACAGCCTTGCTGACCCAGAAACCTAATTTTGGGGGAAGACTTACATCAGTCAAACTCATGGAGTCTTCCTGAAAAAGGAAATCTTAATGGACAGTGAGAAGCAGATCTAGTACCTGGTTGATGGGAAACATGTCTTTCTAACAACAGGAAATGGTTTGGTAACAGAGCTAATCTGGTACAGCCTCAGAATGGATAATGGAGGTTAAACAGTGGATTCAGTTGTACTCTGACATGGGACGGGGGAAAAAGGTGCAAAAAGATTTCTAGGGGGAATTTAATGAATAAGGTAGACTCAAAAAAAAAAATCACACACAAGTAAATTAATTTGGACAAAGCTGTTGTTAGTGATTTTAAATTGGGTGATGATCAATAAAACGAGTATCACTTTTTCAATAGATACTCAATTGATAACATGTATATACATGCAAATTTATCCCCTCTAAGATTTATTTATTTTTTATTTATGCATACAAGAACTGGGGTATAGGTCAGAGGTATGGGGGGGTGAGACAATTCACCAAGACAGAATGGGGAGCACCACAGGCAGATTGACTGAAAAACACCACTAAGGGGATCATGGGGGTGGAGGGGGACAGGAGAGGTCTGCTGTGCCATGTGGGTAGCTCCCTGGCTGGGGATGCATACAGGCTGCAGTGGTGATAGCGCTGAGACTTAACCCCTAGGCCACCAGGGAGATGCAAATGTGTCCTCTTTTGTGAGGAATGACTGAACACCTCAGGGAAGTTAGTTTTGTCCATAAAGCATGGACTATTTCAAGAACTGGAGGGAGACCATCAAGAGTTAATTTCTATAAATTGACGCCAATTTCTGTAAATAAACAGGAGAAAGCTTGCTGTTGGTACTTGTGGGGAACAAGAGGATGCGCCGACTGTTTAGAATCATTTAAAGTATATTTTGGCAAGGGATCAAAACAGGCAAGATTTTTTTTGGTTTCCTGTTTTGTTTAAGCTTTTCCTCCATCAACTTCAGAAGAGTTTCAGGTTAACAAAATTACAGTGAAAACAGTACGGAGTTCCTGACATCCCACACAATATGGGGTTTTAAAAATCTAGCTTCCACGACTCCTTGCTTTTGATCTCACATTTTGCAGGTGTAACAGGGTGGTCCTCAGGAAAGGAGGAGGTTCCAGGTTTCCTGCCCCACCCAAGGGAAGGTGGAGCTGAGTAAGGAGAGAAGAAGCTGCAGAGGAGACTGAGGAAGGAAGCAGGATGGAGCCAGGAGACCTGGAGGAGGCACATGGAGCCTAGAGACACGTGAAGAAATGTGCTTGTCTTTTGGTCGTGGACGGGGTGACACAGATGTGGGTGAGACCCGGGGAAGTGACAATGGCAGCTTTTATCTTGATTTTGATTTTGCTCTTTTCCTTCCGGGCTTGTCTGGTTGTGTCTGACCCTTTTCTATGGGTCCCCACTGGAAGATGCTTTAGCCTTATGGCAGGCTTTGGGGCCTTGCTCTGGGCCTATCCCATTTGGATGGCGTTTTACCCACGAGGGGACGGGTAACTTTGGGTGCTTGATTTAGAAACCAGATTCTTTGCCTTTCCTGTATTATTTCCTAATTGTATTAAAGTTCCTTCCCATTAAAGTCTCATGTTTTGTGTTAATGCGGCGGATGGCAGAACCCTATGTAGAATAGGCAGGTTTGCGGGGTTTGGGCTGACCCTCTCCCTGCCCTGTAACACAGGGAGTTCAGAGTGCAACTTCCTGACCATGAAGAAAACCCAGTTCAGTTAAAACTTCACAGCCCAACCACCAATGAGTCAGGAGCCAGGCAGGCGGAACCTGCTGTTCCCTGGGGGTTTGCACCAAACCCGAGGGGAGGAGCCCGGAGCCGTGGGGCCGGACCGTGGACAGTCCTGGGGGGGTGGAGTGGGGCGAGAGCACAGTCCTCGAGCTCAGACCCCTCCTCCGGGGGCAGGCTCTCCACGCCAGAACATTTTTAACCTCAAGACGTCCAGCTCTCTGAGGCAGGTGGCAACTACACATACATACGCACATGTGTGACGGCGGCTTGTTGTTTAACGCAGACGCCTGCAGGCCATTCTGAGGCGCACCCCACTCCTGGCCACGGCCCACACCCCTCGCAGCGACGCAGACGCCCGGCGCCCAGGTCGCCGCCGGGCCCTACCGTCGCGCGCGCGGGGGTGGGCGGGCGCGCGCGCGCGTGATGACGTCCGGGGAGCGCGCGCGCCACCGTGGCCGCCGCTGTCGCCGTCGCCGCCGAGCCGAGTGGAAGTTGCCGGTAGTCGGGTTGGAGGTGATGGCCGGGACTCAGGGCCTCGGGGTGGCGTCTCTCGCTGTTCCTGTGTTCGCCGCCGGGGCCTCCGTCCGCTCTTCGTCATGAGAGGTCAGGCCTGGGGGAAGTGCACGGTGGGGGGTCGGGGGGGGCGACGGCCGCGGCGAAGGGGGCCTGGGGAGAACACCCGAGGCGCTTGCAGCTCGAACGTGGGTGGAAAACTGCCCCGGGGGTTCCCGGAAGACTTGGTTACTTTCTTTCTGGCTGTTTTCTCCCTTTCTTTGCCTGTGCACGGAGGAATGTGGGAGGGTTGTGTTTTTTTGGAAGGCACTACAACTGCCCCGTCCACGTCAGTCTTCAGAGGTTTGAGGGAATAAATGGCACCCTGGTGTCGGAGCACCGGCGAAAGCATTTAAGGGAAGTCTTAAAAAAAAAAAAAAAAACACGACAAAACTGCCATATAGAGTAGCTGAGAAAAAAAAAAAAATCAAGACTAGAAATGCAGTAGAATGACACAGAACATACCCCGAAGTCAACCCTAGATTCCTCCCACAGAAATGGCATTCTGGGGTCGGGCTCTGCGTTTCGTCATCGGGCTTTGCTGTCATTATGGGTCCTCGACGGCTGTCCATATCGGTCATTTAAGGATCCCTTCTTATCGGTATCCTTTCTCGACCCTTCTCCCCCAGTCCCCTCCACCGATGGTGGCATTTTTTAATGGGCAGAGTATGTAACTATCCTTATTCAGACTAAAGAGTCACCTAACAATTAATTATATGGCGACTCCCAAAGTCTCCCCATTTTAAAGCTATTTGGATAACATCCTTTTGAGGGGAGGAAGGTAATAATCTTGGTATTAATTATAGGAAACCTTTTTATTAGCTTTTGGAAAGCTGATTCAGCATACAGCAAAATTTGTAGGTCACCTATGTGAAGTATTTATTAATTACCTCTGATAATAAGCCACTACTTTTTTTTTTTTTTTTTTTGTCTTCCTATGAAAAATACTCACTCACTCTCATGAAGTCTTTGAAGAATCTACATCAGAGATGAAACTGCTCCGGGTTGGCAAAGTAAATGTATTGAAATATTCCAGCACGAAAGATTACTAATACCTTTGATTCTTTCACGGATTCCTTCATCATTAGAGAACTTAAGGCATCTAAAGCTCAACGTTCTTTGTAGCAGTTGTCCCCTAGAAGTATTTGTGAGACAGCAGAGCCATAGCACTGAGGGAGAAGTGTAGAAACAAGTGATAGATAATCTAAAGTAATTTATCTACTGTGACTATCAGTCAGCCTCTCTTTTAGTTAGTAAAGGAGTCCTAGTGAGCAGTATGTTGCCTGTATTTAACTGTTGACTTAGAATATTTTCTTTTATTTTTAGGAGACAGAATCCTAAGGCAAAAATATCTGGACCACATAAAAAATATTCAAGGGTCATGCAAGCCAACTGTAGTCAATTGCACAGTCCTCCAGTAGCTGCAGGCAATGAGAGTGCCTCAGCCTCCCATTGTGTCCATACAAGATTGACAGGAGGTGCTTCTTGTCTTCATTCTGGAGACGTTCATATACAGATAAACTCCATACCTAAAGAATGTGCTGAAAATCCAAGCTCCAGAAATACAAGGTCAGGTGTCTGTAGCTGTACCTATGGATGTGTACATAGTCCCTCACGGAGTCACTCCCACAGTGAAGCAAGACGGCCTAATGATAACGTCATGGAGTCTGGAGATCATAGTAGTAACTCCTTCTCAGAATTCCATTATCTCTTCAAGTGGTTGCAAAAAAGTCTTCCATATATTCTGATTCTGGGTGTCAAACTTGTAATGCAGCATATAACAGGTAGGGTATAATAAGACATTGTTTTGTTGCTAAATTCAGTTAATTTTATTTCCTTATTGGTAATCTATCCTTATATGTTTCAGTTATTTTGAGTTTGCCTTTTAAATTGTATGTTTCCTTTAAATTCGTATCATTGTGTTCTTTGATTTTTTTTTTTCCTTTCAATTAACTGGAGCTTATTTTCTAACAGGAATTTCTCTTGGAATTGGGCTGCTTACAACTTTTATGTATGCAAACAAAAGCATTGTAAATCAGGTTTTTCTAAGAGTAAGTATAACAAGTAACTAAAAAAAAAAATCTTTAAATGTTTCTCTAGTATTATATACTTAATTTTGAGAAAGCGAAAAAATAAGATTGTTTGATAAATTTAAATATATACTTTAACATCCATGTTGTTAAATTTTGTTACCTAAATGACCTGGAATAAATGATCAGTCCTAATGTGGAATTGTTCCACCTTGCTTTCTTTGAATTCATGAAAGGATGAAAAAATGAACAGTAGGATTAGAAGATTTTTTTTTAAAGACTTATTTACTTATTCATATAAGAGCTGGGATGTAGGCCAGAGGTGCAGTGGGGTGGGGGTATGAGAGGATTCACCAGAGACAGAGTGGGAGCAGAACAGGCAGATCTACTGAAATACACTGCTGTGGGGAGCAGTGGTTAATAGAGGAGAGGTCTGTTGCACTGTGTGGGTTAGCAACATGGTGCGGGGGATCAAACTGGTGCTACAGTGACTGTGGATTGCTTCATATTGCTGAGACTTAATCCCTTGCACCACCAGGGAAGCCCCAGGATTAAAAGATTTAGAATGCACTATTTGATCTGGTTTATTAAGTGCCTTCATGTTTTGTGAGTTAATTTGACCATACTAAGTAATACAGTCATCAAAAACTTTAGCTGTAAGATTTAAAAGTTAAATAAAATGTACATTGAATAAATGAGTTTTCAACTGTTTAGGTTTCTCTTATTTAAAGAAAATTAAACCCCAGAAGTTTTTACATAAAACATATGTAAATCACTGAGAAAAATAGGATTAGTTTCTAAAGTTTCATTTTTAAGCAATTTTAAAGAGTGATATATATATGTAAAGAATCAAGCATTCTGACATGGAAATTTGTAGTTAGAACCTATCAAACTATAAAAATGTAGGGTTTAGGGCCTCCTGGTGGCCTAGGGATTGGATCTCAGAACGATCACCCCTGCGGCCTGTGTTTGATCCCTGACCAGGTTGCTAACCCACGTAGCCCAGCAGAAATCTGTTTCACCTGCTGCTCCCCTCAACAGCATATTTCAGTAGATCTGCTTGTTCTGCTCCCCTCTCAACACCCCTCCTGGCACCTCTGGTCTGCACCCCAGTTCTTCTACACAAAAATATAATCTTTTTTTAAAAACTAGTAAACCTTTAAACTAGTAATTAAAACTTAACTTTGAGTGAAATTAAAAACAAATTACCTGGGCCTCCCCAGTGCCGCAGCGGGTTGAGCACAGCGCTGTGAAGCTGTCTGCAGCCTCTGCAGTGCAGGTTCGATCCCCAGCTGGCCAGGGAGATAACCACATGGTGCAGCACACCTCCTGTCTTGCCGCCTGCTCCCCTCAGCAGTGTTTTCAGTTGTCTGCCTGTTCTGCTCCCCACTCTGTCTCTGGTGAATTCTCTCACCCTCCTGTGCCTCTGGGCTGTACCCCAGTTCTTGTATAAATAAATAAATCTTAAAAAAAATTACCTTATTATTTACTCCATTGTCTGAGAACTTCTAAAATTATAAGGCCCAATCATTTAAATGCATTTTAAAAATTGTGTTGTCAGATGCAAAATAGGGAGCTGCAAGGGCAAAGTGTGCGTTTTAATGGGTGCTTTATGTTAACCTGTAGATTTGGTTTTTCTGAAACATAATGTTTTTATAGGCAAGAAACTTGTATTTTAAAAATGTTTAAAAGAATTGTCATATATAGTGTAATGTACAATTTAACATTATTTTTATTGATTAATCTATAAGGATGTTCTAAGTTAATAAATTATTAAAATAGTTTAATGACATTTACAGTTCTGGCATAATTCAACATAACGTAAAATTGTTTATTTTTCAGGAAAGGTGCTCAAAGATTCAGTGTGCTTGGTTACTGGTATTCTTAGCAGGATCGTCTGTTCTTTTATATTACGCCTTTCATTCTCAGTCACTTTATTACAGGTAATTAGAGATCCAAGTACACAATCACATTTTTAATGGAATAATATATTCCATAGCATTTTGTCTCTATCTTACTTGCACATACTTAACAGTTTATTACCTGTCTCGTTCCAAAATTGAGAGTTGTGACTTACTTAAATTTGTATCCTAGTGCCTTGGCTTAAAGCAGGTGCTCAGTATTAATTTTTGATACTTGAGTTTTTACTTATCAGTAGTTATTAGCACTATTAGGTTTGTGGTTATCTTCTTAAAGTTATTTTGATAAGCAAAAACTGTATATATTTAACATGTACATGATGTTTTAACATGTGTACATTTTTGAATGCTTACCACAATCAAGCTAATTATCACCTGTCTTAGTTACCTTTAGTGTGTTTGATGAAAACACTTTTTTCTTCTAGGAGACTTCCTGAAAGATGATGATAATAAAGTTTCCATGTCACATGGAAGTGTTCTGAATTTTTGCCTTTAATCAGATAATTAGAAGTTCTGGCTTCAGTGGAGTTGGAGCAATATAGACAAATCTGGGATATAGTCTGTAGGTGGAGCCAGTATCTCTTGCATTGGAATGGGTGGGTAGGTGGGGAGCAAGAATCAAGGATGGCACCTGGGTTTTAGTCTAAGCAGCTGACTAAAGAGTGGTGCCATTTACTGGATTGGGAAAGACCCAGTTCCCTTTGAAAGGAACTGGTTTTCAGGGGAAAATCAATAATTTTGTTTTGAACATGTTAAGTTTGAGAAGTTATATAGAACTGCTAAAGTGATTATAGATATAGGTCATGAGTGCAGAGCAGAGGTTAGGGCTATAAGTTTTGGTGTTAACAGAATATGGTTGATATTTAACTACCATGGGACTCTAATAAGATTAGCCAGAGAAAGTAAGTAGACAGAAAAGGATCAAAGACCAGACATGTCCACAATCAAAACAAAAGGATACTAATAAGGATCCATTAGTCATCTATGAAACAAATTAGGACAGTATGGTGTCAGAAATTTAAGGAAAAAATAATTCAGGGAGGAAGATGAAAAAGGAAATAACTTGAATTTAGCAAAACCAAGAGAGTTGGTGATCTTTACAAAAGAAACTCAGTTGAAAAGGAGGGGGTGGAATTCTGAATGGTTAAGGAGAGAGTGGCAGATGTCTAGTAGTAGTGAATTTTTTCGTTTATAGGCTAGAAAAGTATCAACCATGACAAGCTAGGAAAACTGATCTTTTTTTCCTTTGGAAGAACAATTTGAAATTTAAACATTTAAAGACCTCTCTAAAATAAGCAAATAGATATTTTATTTACATGAACTCTAATATATTGCCAAACATATTTTACACATCAACTTAAATATTTCATGCAATTAAAAAATGCTAGCAATACATAGTATGTTGCTCTGGTAAATTTTGATGTTTTTCTCTTGGTAGCTTAATTTTTTTAAATCCTACTTTGGAACATTTGAGCTTCTGGGAAGTACTTTGGATTACTGGAATTACAGACTTCATTCTGAAATTCCTCTTCATGGGCTTAAAATGCCTTATTTTATTGGTGCCTTGTTTCATCTTGCCTTTTAAATCTAAGGTAAGAAACTAACTTTTGATTTGTTAGAACAGTGTTAGCAACCCAGATTAATGTTGTTCAGTCTTGATTTAAATAACTCGTTTTGTAATTTTTCAGCTTGCTACAAACCTGTTACCTCAGACTGACAACCATTTACTCAAGGACTTGAATCTAAATATTAACCTATCCCAATAAAATACAGAATTATATTTGCTTCAGAATAACCTAAAATTCAGTCACAGTGTCATATATGGAAATTTTGTTCTCCTCTAGGACATTATCAGTTGATAATTGATAACTGTATGTAGTTATTAAGTGGCATCCTAGATTCAATAAAAACCTTAATACAAATTTTTTAATTAGCTTACATTACACATTAACATCTTCACTGTCATTCTTTAGAAATTGTTTGAAAAGACTTCCCAATGATCATAATATGGAAGTTTTCAGTCATGAATATTATCATTTGTATTATTGTGCCATATACTCATGTTCTCAGTCCAATATGAAGTATTTCTGTAATGTATGTAAGTAGCCTAAGTTGCTCTACATTTTTTCTTCCTCTTCCTTTTTAGGGTTACTGGTATATGCTTTTAGAAGAATTATGTCAGTATTACCGAACTTTTGTTCCCATGCCAGTTTGGTTCCGTTACCTTATAAGCTATGGGAATTTTGATAATGTAACACAGAGTCTTGGGATAGCGCTGGCTTTACTCTACCTCATACTAAAAGTAAGTAATATTATATTTATAAATTTTGCCATTGCATGATGATTCATACAAACATGAACACAGAATTTACATACTACTGCTGCTTTTCCCTTTAGCTGATTTATAATTTATCTTCATATCACTAGTTTGAAGTAATGGCAGGTTCTATAGCTACTTACAAATGGAAATATCAGACCTTCCTGGTGGCGCAGGGGGTAAAGTGTCAACATTATGAAGCTGTCTGCAGCACGAGTTCAATCCCCACTCAAGGAGCTAACCCATGGCACAGCAGACCTCTCCTGTCTCACCTGCTGCTCCCCTCAGCAGTGTATTTTAGTCGATCTGCCTGTTCTGCTCCCCACTACTGTCTCTGGTAAATCCTCTCACCACCACTCCACACCCCTGCACCTATGGCCTATACCCCAGCTCTTGTATGCATAAATAAATCTTTTTTTAAAAAAAGACCAAGAAATGGAAATATCTACCTTTAGCTTAATTCAGTAATTATTAGTTGTTTTTTTTTTTTAATAGAGGCATGTTTTATTTATTTATTTGTTTGTTTGTTTTGTTTATACACGCACTGGGTACAGTCAGAAGCGCAGGAGGGCGAAAGAATTCACCAGAGCCAGAGCAGGGAGCAGAGCAGGCAGAAGGACCAAAGCACACTGCTGAGGGGAGCAGCGGGCGGCAGGAGAGGTCTGCGCGTCATGCGGGACCCTCCTCCGGTGGCCGGGGAGCAGCCGGGGATCGAACCTGCACTGCAGAGGCTGTGGGCAGCTTTGCAACCCAGCGCTCAACCGCTGCACCACCGGGGAGGCCCAGTAATTATTAGTTTTTATTGGATGGGAAGTGGACCTCCAAATAGCATGCGTATCTAAATGGGGAAACAAGTGGAATAGAATATACCCATCCACAACAGTAACATTTATCATACACATAATACTCAAACTAGTGGAGTATCTTGTTCTCTTCACTGCTTTGCCCAAGTTTACACTTTGTAAAACTTTAAAATCTAAATGTTAAAAATGTGAGCAAGTAAAATTGCTTCATCTTTGACATATATATTTCTCTTAACCAAATTGTAACTACGTATTCAAATGCATTTCAGCATGGTTATGAATTGGCTAAAATCTGTGAGTAGAATATTCTGTAATTGAAGTTGAAATATATTTAGACTGCAATTATTGCGATATGCAAGTAAGTTCGTATCGGTATTTGGTATTAAGGGATTTTTATCATTGGTTTCTAGGTCTAGCAAATAGGGCTTTTTGAATTAATAAATTATCTCATTTTCTATCAGCTTTTGGACATTACTGGACATGTGAGGACTTTTCTACGGGTTTTGCGAATATTTTTTACACGACCAGTAAGTACCTTTTAATCCATTAAGAAAAACTTTTACTTTTCTTCATTTAAACACATTTTTAGTTTAGTGACTTTTTAAATGTGGATTTAATAATTTTTTTAAACTTTTTTTATCCTTTAGCACCACGGTTATGACAATGGTTTAGGAGTTTCATTTCTGTGATCATTTTCCTGACTTGCACATTGACAAACCAATTTGTTGCAGTGCTTATGTAGTTAATGAGCTCTTGCCCTTTCAAGTCATTTGACAGTCTTAAGGGCTTATAAACATTCCCTTAATAATTTCCACAAATGGTAACTGTGTATTTCCATTAATTCCTTATTCAGTGTCTATGAAAGTGCTTCCTCTGTAATTTATGATGTTTATGAAAAACTCATTGCCTAAAATCATATCCATTGAAATTTCTTACTGAAGAAAATTTCCCCACCAATTCTCAATTCTTCTGCACAAATATATACTGCATTTATTAAGGAATTTAAAAAATTAAAGGAATTAATAAGATTCCAAATTCAGCTATAAACTTAATTATTATGATTCAACTGATGTAACAAATTGCAGATAAAGGGTAGAATAGGTTCATTTGCTAATAGCAGCCTCAAAGATTCTCAGTACTTAGGTGTCATCATCAAGATTTCAGAATATAATCCTCAATTTTACAATGCATTAGGTACTTAAATGGACTTGGAAAAGCTCAGGATCTGATTTATAAAAATGCCAATTTAGTAATGTGTGTTGAAAAATAAAGGATTATCTCTGCAAAGTAGACCAAACTAACTGGCCAGTTTTGCTACATCCTGTTTAGACTTCTTGTAGACAAAATACAATAAAATTAAGAGGTCAGCTCTGCCTAAGTTTATTCAGCTGGTGTTTCTGTACTAGCCATTTTACTATAATTGATCTAGTAAGGCTCATGCTGAAATACTCTTCTCTGTGCGGCAGAGAATATCAGTCATAAACACGGAGTTATTCCTGGTATCTCTTAGGAAAGTGCCCTAGACCTGTATATACATTTCCTTAACTTTGCCAGGAAAATTGCAGTCACTGTCAGGGTAAGTGTTCACCTGAAGGGAGTTTGCAGTGTCAGACAAAAATGCTATTCTAAAAGCTTGTCAGCATAATTATCTGCAGTGTATTTAAATGACGTTCTACTGAAGGGAAGTTAGCACCAAGATCATCCATCGGTATCCTGATTTGTTTTTGAAATCTTTAACATCACCAGTCTTGAACAATCTTCCTTTTTAATATTTTTATCCTCTGAATCATAGTTTCATTTTGTTAACCTTTGCAGTACAAGAAGTTTTAGATCATAACTTCAGATTATTGAACACGTTTTGTTTGCATTACTGTAACTGAATTCTGGTGGTCTTCTCTTAAGCCACATTTTCCCATTGTTTCTACTGAAAACTGATCTCGTTTGTAACATTTTGTCACATCTAGTTACTAAATTCTGCTGAATTGGTGAGGAAGTTGTTAAATCTTAAAGATATCATAAAATTTTTAGGACATTAGAAGAAAAGAAATTCAAAGAATCACATTATTGTTCAGTTTTGACAATACACTATCCATGTGACATTTTTCAACTTACACGTCTTTTGTAAAGTCTTATTCTTTCCTAGTACTAAATGCTCTTTTACAGCAACCAAGGACAATAAAAGTTTTTAGCTTTAGTGGCAGAACAGTGTTTAGTCCCTAAACCTTCACATCAAACTCACCTGGAGAGCTTCCAAAAATTAAGATTCCTGGGTCACATCCCAGTATATCTGGATCTATTGAATTGATCTCTGGTGTGAAGCACAGAATCTATTTTAAAAGCAGTCTTTCCACATGATGTTACATTTAGCCAGCCAAGTTCTGAATTGACGTCTGTTGACCACTGCCATCAGTGGGCTCAGTTTGGCAATACATGAATGTAGATCTTATAATAATTATATTTCAGATTGTTAGTTTCTTAACTACTTGAAAATTGGTTGAGTTTGAAGCACTATCATTTGGAAACCCAGTGACCTAACAATTTTCTAGATTTTATTATGCATTTAATGATGTCATATAATAATATAATATTATATTATTATAATAATATAATATAATATCATATAATAATATATGAAGAACATATATTATTCCATCAAGGTGTGGTTTTGCTTATGTAGTTTGGCTTTGAAATGTTTGTGTCCTTTAGAAAAATTTTCAAATGCCTAGTTCCAAAGAGAAATGAGAAATATAGACTCATCTGTGATTTGAGGAAAACGAAAGAAATAAATTTTTGGATAAACAGAACTTATTCCTTTCATAGAGTTATGGAGTAACTGCCACCAAGAGACAATGTTCAGATGTGGATGATATTTGTTCAATATGTCAAGCTGAATTTCAAAAGCCAATTCTACTCATCTGTCAGGTAATTATATTTTTAAGAAACCTAAATATAATAAATACTTCTGTTACTTATAAGGGAAAAAAAACTACAATGTCCAGCAGAAAGTAGCATTCAGGGCACAAACTAGATAGTAATTCCTTATTTGTGATTAGGATTTGTGGATTAGCTGTATCTTATTCCTTGTGTTCTAATGATTTTTATGCAAAGCAATGTATAAAGGGGAAAAATAATATGGCAGTTTGAATACCAATGTGACTGGAAAACAGGCTTTTTAAAAAAAAATGTGTGTGTTAGTCTTTTAGAAATACTACCAGTATTTGTAATTGAACTGTGTAAGACCCTTCCCTCTATACTTCATAGCAATTACACTTAAACTATTAAGTCAATATATTTAATCTTAATGTTATCACCTAGATAGCTAGTATTATTAAAAGTGATTAGATAGTCCAGTCAAAAGAACACTAGTGGCTTGAGCCACCACTCTGTGTTCTTAAATGTCCAACTTGTTTTTTCATTTGGGATTGGTCCTGTCCAAAGTCCCTTTCAGCTCTAAAGAGTATGATTCTCTACAGTTGAGGACTTTAAGATTTTATTTATATTTGCATAGAAGAACTGAGGTGAATGCCAGAGGTACAGATAGTGAGAGGATTCCCCAGAGACAGAGTGGGGAGCAGAGCAGATTTACTGAAATACACTGCTGGGGGCACAGTGGGTGAGACACTTAAGTGTAGTGGTCTGCTGCACCATATGTGGATTAGCTCCCTGGCAGGGAGTTGAACTCAGGGGCAATCACAGTGAGATGTCACAGCGACAGCCCTGAGACTTAATCCCTAGGCCACCAGGGAGGCCCCAGTTGAGGACTTTAAATTAAAATGTTATCAAGTATAATATCTAGTTCTTAATTACCTTACAGCATATATTTTGTGAAGAGTGCATTACCATATGGTTTAACAGAGAGAAAACATGTCCGCTGTGCAGAACTGTGATTTCAGACCATATAAATAAATGGAAAGATGGAGCCACTTCATCACATCTTCAAATATATTAAGTTGTTTAAACTGTTAAGGCCACAAACACTAATTTCACTTGCTAACAGTTACTATTGAGAGACATTAGCATGGATTTTCACAGACAAAAGGAAGAATTTTCTCAACTGTCTTAGAATATTATAAGACGTAAGTGTATATTTCACTTTATCAAAAGTTAATGAACCCTGTATTTTAAAAAATTTGTAATGTTCAACATAATGCAACATTTGTTCTACCCTATTTGACAGGTGATTACAGTGTTAAGTTGTAAATATGTTTTCTTGTTAATGTTACCAAAACAGCAATTGGTTAACTAGAACTAGTGGGCTTAGAGGAACTCAGGTATTCTTTCCTGACATTGTTTTCAGAATAAAGAGTATTTTTCATATTTTAAGATACATATTAGCTGAAAGTTTCCTTTAGCATCAATTTTTATAATTCCCATTCTAAAAATTCTTAAAGTTTTCATAAAATTTGTATTTTTAAAGTTCCAAATGCTATATTTTACCTGTAACAATCAGATTTTCTAAGTAGAGATTAATTTGCTGAGGATATATTTTAATATTGTATTATTCTCCATAGTGTGGTTACCAATCAGTGAGAATAGATGATATAAATTCATTTTGTTTGTAAACCTCATACATTTCAAATCCTGCCATCAGCTTTAATGGTCATGATCTTGCTTTTTGTATAGTGCCATGGACTATCTTGAAGTAACTATTAAAATAATTTACATGGATTACATACAGCTGGCTTCACTGATGATTTGAATAGTGTGACAAACACCTAAACTCTTTGAAAGAATTCCCTTATAACTAGTTTTCTCCAGAGCAGTTTGGAATCTTAGGCATGAATCACCATTGCTTGGGAATAATAAAGGTTACACTCAGAGGCATCCAAGAGCTTTGGATAATGTGGTTTGTTTTTCTTCTAGGTATTTGTGTAGAAGGTGGTGGATAAGGGAATGAGGCATATTCTCCTTCCACTTGAAACCTTGAAGGGGGTTATTGGGGGGTAAGGATGCAAGAGCTACAACAGAAGTCTGACTGGCTGGTTATATCTAAGCACGGAGTATAAGGTCTCCTCATTTTTTTATTATCATCTATTAGTTTGTACATAAGAAAGAGATAGTGGGAAGGAAAAATTAGGAGGTAGAGATAGAAAAACAAATTTGCAGTGTTAAAACAAAAGCTAAAGCAGCATATGGATTAATAAGGATAGTAACCAACCAACTACAGGTTAAGTCACTTTCATACCTATGCGACTACCCGATTTGACAAGAACATTACATAACTTGTAACTTTTTCCCCCCACATAAACATTGCCACATTATAAGTACCTACTGATTCAATGATGATATATTTAAGTGTCTAGTTTGCAAACCATTGCAAACACTGAAACAATCTACTTGGCCTTAAATGGATCTTCCTTCCTTTGTGGTGAACCTAGCAGCTAGCTGTATGTAGGTATACATCAAGGTGATGGGTAAGAAAGGCAATTTGGAATTAGAATTGGGGTGAGAACCATAGATATGACTTGTTAAAAACATGAAAATGAGAATAGCATCCTACTACTTGGGTTACATCAGCTCTATTGCAGTACCTCTGTACCATACCTACTTACCTGATGGCTATATGGATAGCTTTGTTTCTTAATATGACTTCATCGCAAAGGAGGTCTATGATGGAAACAATGGGTTTTTTGTTGGGAATTTTTTTAAGGTAATATTGATTTGTAATATTAAAAAACATTCTATAGCATTATAATGTTGTATAACCTTATAATTCAACATCCGTATACACTATATCATAATGCCACTGATTTCTATCCATCACCATTGCTTTTGTTTTCTTAAGGAACAAAAATGCAGTTCACGTTATGAATTCAAAAGGAGGGAAATGTAATCAGAGCTTTGCCATCCACTAAATAATGTTCATGAACTGAAAACATTTCTCTACTTCCATATTCCTTCATGTCAAAAATGGAAATAGGGATTATAAAACCCATTCTTTGAATTCAGAGCACACCCTCTGAAAGATTGTCTTACCAGCATTAGGAGCTGCTATTATGTTTTATGAAAAGATGTCAGTTTAAGAACTCTTACAGAAAATTCATCTTGGAAAGTGTGACAGAATTACCTCATAATAATAAGTGGTTTATACAGAACACATCTTACATTAAATATATTAAAATAAGTTTGTATACTACATTATTTTGTGTATACACATTAAATCAAATATAGTTAACAAGTGTGGTTGACCTAATTTGTTAGCACAAGAGTTTTCCTAGTGTTTTCCACCTAAAGATAGTTGTCACCTTAACTTTTTCTTGGAATGTACCATTTCAATTCTATTTGACTTGAAAGTTAGATATATAACATCTAATTTATGAAATCAGTACTAAAACTTGTTACATATTTAAGTATATTCAATTTCTCAGCATAGTTTACATTTGTGATTCCGCACATATATAGTTTACCAAATATGAGAATCTGAACACATCTGGCATGTTAAGGAAAATTACTGAAAATGATTTGTGTACCTAATATTTACATGGAGTTACTTCTTCCTATCTTAGGATAAAAAAAAAAAATCACTTCTATTTAATGTTCATTCAGATTTGCATTTAATTTCTATTTACATTCATTCAATCCAAAATCAAATAATACAGTAAACTAAATACAGATGAAAAGCAGAAAAAGTTGTTACCCTCATAGCACTCCTAATAAGGCAGCTGAAGAATTTTACTCTGACAAATGCAAAGCCAATTTGGAAAAGGAGAAAAATAATAGTTTAAAGAGCAAACACAAACACAGATGAACCCATCTTTCAGATGTTACTTCAGATAATTCACTGAGATAATACTTGTGCTGTAGTAGTAAATTAAGAATCACACAAGAAAATGTTTTTATCAGCAAGAGACCACAAATCATGTGTGACAAATACTTTTATGATTGTTTTGTTCAGCTTGCTAGTGTCTACTCCAATGAAAAAAAGATAGTGGTTTGGAAATTGATGTTTTTATTTGAGAAAATTAACCATTTCCAAAGCTTCAAAATGCATTCTTCATAAATTCAACATTTCTCATGGGAATAATCTGAGATCTAGCCCTTGTAAGCTAGGAACCATATGTCTGAGTAACCAAAATAGTTAGGTCCTATAATAAATATAAAATCCAAGGCTCGGTATAATAATACTATTGAAGATGCATCTTGTTTATAATAATTTATTACCTATAGTAAAGAATGTTGAATTTATGGAGTATCATACATGCATTCTTCCCCCCCAAATTATTTCTATTTCAAAATATAGCATGGAAAAAAATCCTTCTTGAAGGACGCAAACTTAAGAGCATAACGGGGAAAAAGAACATAATTTTCCTAAAAATCTGGTTCAAGTTCAATAATTAATACTTTACATTGTTAATCACAGCTGGTTTATAAATCCCAGTTTATTCTGTAATGCTACGAACCTTATAAAATCAAAATTAGTAAACTTTAGTTCTCAGTGATTTTACTTTAATTAAAAAACAGCATGTATAAAATAAAAAAATATCCTGTAATAGCTTGATTTTAAAGAAAATAAGTGATGGAAAAAAGAAAAGCAATCTCTTTTATACACTTACCTGGAATAATCATAAAGAACCCTTTTAGAAACTCAAGACTACTAATATTGACATCATCTATTTTAAACTATAGTTGGATTTTTACAAATAAATATAGGGTAAGCCATATTGCATAGGTGTGTGCTTTCTGTCTGTGACACTAATGTGGCACTTGACGTGTTTTCACAGTCATAGTAGTAGGGATATCCATTTATGAAACATAATTTCTCAAACTTGCCACAGCATAGTAAATTAATTTCACTTACTGTTAAGTTTGAAAAATTCTATTTGTGTGGATGGTAGGTGTGCAATTAATGCTTTTTATGCAGGAAAGTTGCAATGTTTGCCACTATCACTGGCAGTGCTAATTATGAAAATGGTTTAACTATGGGGTGGTTATAGCCAGCCAATCACAGTGCAAATGTTACTAGGACTGAGGAGAAATATTTTGGTGTAAAAATTTAGCTGGAATTTGGTCAGACAGTTAACACTACAGTTAATAAACACATTTGAAAACAAGTATCAGGAGTACAAGTCATTTACAGCCTGATATAAAGCCTATACATATCACCATAGTTTTTTTGGGTTCTGTCAGACATCTTAAACTTATAAAACAAAGTTATGCACTTTAAGTACAATATCTGCCCTTATTATTGTAGCTTCTAATTTACTATCTATAATCACAGAATTCTCAATAAGCTGCTGCAATAGAGGAGGAGGGAGTCTACAGGGAATGATTTTTAAGGAAAAAAAAGGGGGCTTCTCTGTCCAGAGATGAACTGTTACCAATTCTTTCATTTATTGCCATAATTCAAAAGCTATATTTTTCAATAGTTTTTGTGGTTCTATTTTTGCTTAATGTCATAGGATTTTAACTCATCTCACTTGAATTGCCATTTAAATAAGCAAAGCTTTGCTCTCTTTCTGACTGAATTCAACATGCATAAAGAATTTTATGGCTTGGATCCTATGGCTCAAAAAAGTTTGGAAAATACAGCAAGCAGCATCTATTTTAAAAAATCATAGGGTTGCAAAATACTACAAATTGACTTCGCATACTCAGACTGAAGACATTATAAAAGACAAACAAAAAGAGGTGGTAAGACTCAACTGCAACTGCATGATCATCTATTATACCAGTATGCACTGAAGTAATTTTTTATAAAGCTCTGCAGATAGTAAACCCTTTTACCAGCTAAAGTCATGGAAATGCTCTCTTTAAGGCAGGAAGTATTTAAGAAAGGTAAAGTTACCTTTTTTATTCTTTGTACCTATAAATCACTTATGTAATTTTGTTACAATTTCAAAAACATAGTGTCTTGTTAACATATTTCCTAAATTAAGCCACTAAGTTTTCGTATTTACTGTGGAAGACATTCATCAAAAGGCCATCAAATATTTTTACAATCAAAAAATGTAATCCCGGTATAGGAGAAAACAAATTATACCTTTTTTCCTTTGAAAACTGTTGAGGAAAAAATGTAAGGAAGGTAGACAGCAAGAACAGTAAAAAGAAGCAAAACTTAAAACCTTACCAATTTGCTGTAAAGAGATTAGTCACAGAGAGTGGACCATGGCAACACCCTCTTCCCCTGGATTTCCCATGTCCCTTATTTTGCCGCCCTCAGTATGCATTTTATCCTGACTCTCTTCTGTCCTTCTTCAGCCACGGGCTGAACACATTTGGTTGGCGTCTTGAACCAAATACTGGTATAAGAACAGGTGGCAATATTTTTCCAGTGCAATGCAGGCCCAGAACAAGGATGAAATGAAGGACATACAACTTATGCCTATTTCCAAGGCTTCCAGTTAAGCTTAGCACATAACAGTACTGCAAGTAGAAATGATTAAATAGATTCTTTTTTTTTTTTTCCCCTAGTATTACAGACAGGTATTGCAGCTGGGTTATTGAAAATAAACCCCAGGTACACCCCAACCCCTCAAACGAGCCACAGCTGTGGTTAACAATGATTCTTTTGCATTTTTATTATTTCACCAAGAGAAGAAACAGAAGTTGT